CGGCGAGGACGACAGGTACCGACGGCGAGGACGACAAGTCTTCTCTCTGCGTATGCTCTCTCTCTCTCTCTCTCTCTGTATATATATATACAGATCTGTAGATCATCTGCGAATGTATATGATATATCTGTATCATCTATATATATATATATATTCAAAAAATAAATGAATTCCAAATTGTGTTTAAATTTATGTTATTTATATGATTTCAAATAACTTTTTAATAAATCTCCTGCTCCAACCTTATAAAGGTACTCCTATTTAGTATTTTACATATGCTAGCACATCTATTATCCTTGTCAATATTTATTGTGTTATCAAAGATAGAAAAATGAAACTAATAAGGTAAACTTATCTAACAAATTGTTATTGAAAGAAAATTCTGAAAGCACCTCAATTTTCAGTGATAAACACTTTCTTTTTGAATTTTTGAAAATTGTTTTGATTAGTGTTTCTATCTTTGTATTTTACTTATAATATAAGAAGTGTCCAATAAAAAATAATATGAAAAATTAGGAAAAAAAAAATCTCAAAGTTTAAGTCTTATAATAAAATAAATCATGAGTTTAATTTTGCTGATACTGTTATTGATGTACCTATCATTTGTTCTGTTTTTCTTCCAGACAACTGTATCGAAAAGTAGTCTTTTTGATCATTTGATAAACTTTTGGGAATTTAGGCCGGGACTTGATCCAGGAACTTGAAGCCTTTATTTTTTGGTGGATTTAAAGTTCCAGTCACCACTCTATCGACACGTAATGGTTCTGTGCTTAATTTGGTTGTACTATACATCTATCTAGTCTGTGAACTTCATAACCATAACTAATGCAGTTCTGCTATCATTTCATTATATGTAGTTTTTGCATTTTTTTTCAAGGAGAGCATATCTTACAATGTTCCTAACATGTAGCGTGCGAGGCATTTAAGTATTTACGTTACCTGGTTGATCTTTGCTGGTGTGTCTGTGGAAGTAATTTGTAGCATGGAAAGTAATTGGGCCTCCATATATATAGATAGAAAAGAAACTTGAACTGGGCTTTCTTATTCTACTTTGTTACATAAGATTATGTATGTGATGTTCAAAATTATAATGTACAGAATAATGATCCATCTTTATTAAATAATTTTTGAGACAATATACTTGATTAGTGCTGGGCCATCACAGTCAACACCCCAGCCATCGACTATTGATCAGATCAGGCAGCAGGTTCGTGCAGAGCTAAGGGATGAGTTGAGAGAGGAGCTGCGAGCAGAGTTCTCTACACATTTACAGCAGATGAGAGCTGAGATGATGGCCCTTGTGTCACAGGGGGCGAGTGTGGATCCCAACAGACAGGTTCCATATAAATTAAATTGTTTGATAGTTCAATTTTCACTCAAGATTATGTATAAAATTCGAATATGATTAACACATTATGCATTGACTAACATAGGTTCCTGATGCATCGAGTGGCCACCGGGCATTTAGGGAATCTGCAGAAGACGAGAATCCATATACACCACCACCAGAAGATCAGGTATAAAATGTATCTTTGCATTCTAAGCTAAAATGTATCTTTGCATTCTTTACATTCTAAGTTAAGAGACTTGTGGGAGAAGACGGGACTAGTTAGAGCCGGATTAAGCACGAAACTTGGCACACACGACCATCTAGGCACAACAGACTTGTAGAAGAAGACGGGGCTCGAATCGAGTTCCCAGTTTGGGAGTTAGAGTCGGATTTCACTTTGGGCAAACTAGTTCCTTAAGAAACTTGAATTCGAGGAATTAAGGCCCCAAAATCACCAAACGGCGTTGGTTTAGCACGAAACGTGGCACACACGACCACCTAGGCAAGAGAGACTTGTGGGAGAAGACGGGGCTCGAATCGGGTTCCCGGTTTGGGAGTTAGAGTCGGATTTCACTTTGGGCAAACTAGTTCCATAAGAAACTTGAATTCGAGGAGTTAATGTCCCAAAATCACCAAACGGCGTCGGTTTAGCATGAAACTTGGCACACACGACCGCCTAGGCACGAGAGACTTGTGGAAGAAGACGAGGCTCAAATCGGGTTCTCGGTTTGGGAGTTAGAGTCGGATTTCACTTTAGGCAAATTAGTTCCTTAAGAAACTTGAATTCGAGGTGTTAACGCCCCAAAATCACCAAACGGCGTCGGTTTAGCACGAAACTTGGCACACACGACCGCCTAGGCACGAGAGACTTGTGGGAGAAGACGGGGCTCGAATCGGGTTCCCGGTTTGGGAGTTAGAACCGGATTTCACTTTAAGCAAACTAGTTCCTTAAGAAACTTGAATTCGAGGTGTTAACGCCCCAAAATCACCAAACGGCGTCAGTTTAGCGCGAAACTTGGCACACACGACCACCTAGGCACGAGAAACTTGTGAGAGAAGACGGGGCTCGAATCAGGTTCCCGGTTTGGGAGTTAGAGTCGGATTTCACTTTAGGCAAATTAGTTCATTAAGAAACTTGAATTCGAGGAGTTAAGGCCCCAAAATCACCAAACCGCGTCGGTTTAGCACAAAACTTGGCACACACGACCTCCTAGGCACGAGAGACTTGTGGGACAAGACGGGGCTCGAATCGGGTTCCTGGTTTGGGAGTTTGAGTCGGATTTCACTTTAGGCAAATTAGTTCCTTAAGAAACTTGAATTCGAGGTGTTAACGCCCCAAAATCACCAAACGACATCGGTTTAGCACGAAACTTGGCACACACGACCGCCTAGGCACGAGAGACTTGTGGGAGAAGACGGGGCTCGAATCGGGTTCCCGGTTTGGGAGTTAGAGCCGGATTTCACTTTAGGCAAACTAGTTCCTTAAGAAACTTGAATTCGAGGTGTTAACGCCTCAAAATCACCAAACGGCGTCGGTTTAGCACGAAACTTGGCACACACGACCGCTTAGGCACAAGAGACTTATGGGAGAAGACGGGGCTCGAATCAGGTTTCCGGTTTGGGAGTTAGAGCCGGATTTCACTTTAGACAAACTATTTCCTTAAGAAATTTGAATTCGAAGCGTTAATGCCCCAAAATCACCAAACGACGTCAGTTTAGCACGAAACTTGGCACACACGACCGCCTAGGCACGATAGACTTGTGGGAGAAGATGGGGCTCGAATCGGGTTCCCGGTTTGGGAGTTAGAGTCACATTTCGGTCTAGTCAAAATTATTTACTAAACTATCTTTCTAATTATATAGTAGTCAATTTTTTTTATATTTTTCTGTAATTAAAATATTAACACCATTATATGGTTATTAATTATTTTTATCTTGTTTTTTTTAGATATTTCCTGAGTAGCAGTTTGCTTCTTGTGGAATGCGGGTGTATAAAGATTATGACCAACTTTTGTTTTTGTAAACCACGAAAGAATCAAGACGAAAACTTTTGGTTTTGATTTTGATTTTGATTTATGTTATTTAAATTTGTTAACAACATTATGTATGTATTATGCGACATTATGTAGTGGCATAATTTTTATTGTTATGAATTTTTATTTATGTATTGTTATGAATGGAACAACATTATGAATTTTCATTATTTGTCAACTTTTGTTTATGTATGTATTTATATTATTATGTAATTTTTGGATTTTTTTACAGTTATTTTTCATTTAATACAGGTTATTTTAATTTTTTTAATAATTTCCCAACAGATTTTTTTTTTTTTTTTGAGACGACATACCACCCGTCGCAAAAAAAATTGTACGAGGCTTTTGCGACGGCACCCATACTGTCGCAAAAGCTATGGAATGTAATTGAAAAATAAACCTTCAGTGACAGCTCAGATTGTCGTCGCTAATAGTTATCAGCTACGACTCTTTTAGCGACAGTATTCTTGCCGTCTCAAAAAACCCATTTTAGCGATGGAAATACTGTACCATCGCAAAAACTCAGATTTTCTTCACTTATTGGCGACAGAAAATTGCCGTCGCAAACAAAGGCACTCTCTCGTCGCAAAAAACAATAGCGACGGCACTTACCGTCGCTAAAGCCCTTTTGCAACCCCCTTTGTCGCGACCCCCACTTGCCATCGTAAAAAACCAAATTACCGTCGCAAAAAGTATTAGCAACGGCGTATGGGGCATTTGCGACGGCGTTTTGCCGTCGCAAAAAACATTTTTTTTTGTAGTGGTAAATAAAGGGCTATTTTGGAAAGATGATTAAAAGTTATCTTCCAGTTTTTAATTTATTTTGAGTCACATTATTTCTCACATTTTTTACATATTTAAAAAAAAAATCAAAAAATCAAAAAATCAATATTTAACCATCTTAAAACAATTCAAAATTATCGTTAATTTGATATAACACGTTTTTTATTTATTTATTTATTTTAAGACCAGACCAAGGTTGGTCTATCCGGGTTACATTATCTGCCCGTTTGTTCCGGGTTACATTATCTGGCCCGTTTGTTTAGGGAGTTAGAGTTGGGATTAAGATTGTGATTGAAATGGAGATGGAACCCACTATATGTTAGGTTTGTTTTGAGAGATGGAGAAGAGATTCTTAATCTCTTAAGATTAGTATGGGCCTTGGGGAAGGTATTAAGATGGAGACTTGAGACTTGATATTAGAAAATTAATCTGTTGTAATATTTTTTCATTTTTTATTTTTTTACATATTGGGCATTTTTTTTAACATTAATATTTAATTTTTTATATTTTTCGTTATGTAAAAATTATAATTTTATTTATTTTATTTATTACATGTTAAATATTTTTTTAAACATTAATATTAATATTTAATATTTTTATATTTATTTTATTATTTTGTATTTACCTTATATAAAAATAATTTAATTTTTCCTATACTAGCAACTATTCCCCACAATAATCACTTCAGTTTGGGAAGACTAAATAAGTGTACTTTTTGACTTTTTATGAAATATGGATTGGGTTTAGGTTGGACTTGAAGTGATGTGTTAGAGAGGTGATGTGACTTAAATAAGATAGTCACTTTTTGACTTTTTAAATTTTGTACGAGTTGCCAAACTTGGCTTCATTGAATCCCTTGGACCTCCGAAAACAAACCGACTTCTGAGTCCATATTACAAAACCGAACTCGTTGTATCTTCTCTCTCTCTCTCTCTTTGCCAATTGCCGTATCTCTGTTTCTCTCCAATTCATCGACTTTCTCTTGCTGTCTTTCGAATCTCAGAGAACAATACAGGTATGTATTCGCTCTCTCTAAAATTCATTAGTTTTTTTCTTATATTTTTCTTTTTTTTCTCCAATAGTTTCAGTTGTCAAATCTGTTTCGATCTCTAATTGAGGACCAATTCGAACCAAAAAAGGAACGAATTGTATTCTATGTTTGCATTCAAATTTCGCTGTTAGCTGTATTAGATTGATTGTCGAAACATCACATAGTTTGAATTTCTTGTAATGAAACCCCTTGATTTTTTGTATCCCCAATAGATAAACCCTAAAATTATTCTGCTTAAAGAACTCCTATACTTATTTCTCTCCTTCTATTCTGTTAATGATCTGGATTCGAAATTGAAATTGAAATTGAAATTTCTGGTTTGTTAATAATCGGGGTTCGAATTTATTTTGAATGTCAATTTCAATTTATCTTCTGTCAAGATCTCAAAGTCTTATTGGTGTCTATCTTTGCCTCTATAGGGTTGAGTTTGTTCTTTCGGATTTCAAGATGCCAGCAACAGCAGGTAGGGTTCGTATGCCCGCGAACAATCGGGTGCACAGTAGTGCTGCCCTACAGACTCACGGTATATGGCAGAGTGCCATTGGGTATGACCCTTATGCTCCCAATAAGGAAGACAACAAGAGCTCCCAGCAGAAGTCCTCTACCACAGAACCGGAAGGTGAGAATGCGTATGCCAGCTTCCAGGGATTGCTCGCACTAGCCCGTATAACTGGTTCTAATGCTGATGAGGCTCGTGGAGCCTGCAAGAAGTGTGGGCGTGTTGGGCATCTCACCTTTCAGTGTCGGAATTTTCTTAGTGTTAAGGATGATAATAAGGATAAAGACCCGGATGCAATTGAGGCAGCAGTTTTGTCGGGGTTGGATAAGTTGAAGGGTAATGGGGGTAGGAATAAAACTGCAGCTGAGAGCTCAGAGGAAAGTTCCGAGGAGGAGGAGAGCGAGAGTTCAGATTCTGACTATGATTCCGAAATTGAGAAGGCTATTGCGAATAAGTATGGAAAGAAGGGTAGTGGCAAATTGAACTCATCAAGAAAGAAGAAAAAGGATTCGGATGATGATGATGAGTTAGATTCTAGGGATAGGAAGAAAAGGGGTAGGTCAAAGAAGAGGAGAAGTGGAAAGAAGTCACATACTGATTCTGACAGTGAGTATGAAAGTGGGAGAAAAAGAAGGAAGGAGAAGAGGAGGAGGAGGGATGAGTCATCAGATGAGGATGATGAGCGACGATATCGGAGGAGGAAAAGTAGGAAGGACAAGAGGAGGAGGAGGAGTCATCAGCATTCTGATGATTCAGATGCATCTGAAGACTCTGCCAGAAGACGCAAGCGGAAGAGCAGGAGGGCAGCTTCACCATCTGTTTCTGATGTTAACGGCTCAGAAGATTCTTGGGTTGGCAGAGACAGAAAGCGTTCTGAGAAGAGGAGCAGGAAACACCGTCATGAAGAGGACTAGTAATTTTCTGGAAGGTAATAGATATGTTCTTGGTTTCTTGTTCCTTTGTGTGATATGGAATGACATGCTTTTATACTTCATTTATGCTTTTTTTTTTTTCGAACTTGAAGATGATTGCTTCTTACCATGTAATCTTCAAATTATCCAAAATAATATTCTTTTTTGTTTGTTGCCTCTCCCAAAGTCCAAGTTGAAACTTTCTCAGTTCAATTGCATATTGTCTTATGCAAATGATTGTGATTGCATGTGTGAATGTGCTTATTCAATGACCCCTGTAAACTTCCTGAATTCTGCTCATGTTCAATTTAGCTTGTCTATGTGGGATTGTCATAACCTGTTTATTGTATTTTTTATTGACATTTGGTTGCTTCTCATTCCATTTTTTAAACTTTAGATCTTTTATAATTAGTGAGGTAGTGCACTGCACAGACAGGTCACAGGATATTGTGGTCAAAATTACACCTGTATAGCTGTATCGAGAAGGAAATCTGGCCTTGATAGCCTAGACATTTTATGACATGTGGTGGTCTACTAGTGCTTTAGTATTGAGGTTCATTATTTCAACTTAGGGGTTGTTTGGGGTGTCCTAAATAAGTGCATTTTTTATCTTTTTAGACTAAAAAATTGAGAAAAAAAAATGTGGATGTTTGGGTTAACTTTTTGACTTTTCATGAAAAAATGTGTATTAAAAAATTGTATAAATTAGTGTGTAAGGAAAAAGGGAAAAATTAAGATTGAGAGTTGTGCAGCCGTAATTTTTGACTTTTGGTGAATAGTGATAACTTTTTAACTTTTTGAGTAACTTTTTGACTTTTTGGTCGCTTGCCAAACTTGGCCTTAATGGTACTTTTCACAGCTACCCCTTCAAAATTTAAGTATTCACATAGCTTGTGGGCAAATTCTCAAAACTACTAGCCCAAAAAGATAATTAAGGAAGATATTTTTTTTCTTTTTCTTTTTATTTTTTATGTTCACTTCTAAAGTGGACAACAGCCTTGAATGCCCCCAAAGAGAGGAAGACTCTTAATGAGTTGAAGTGCTATATTTAGAACATCTAATAAAATGACAACTTCAGAACATAGAAACTTTTATATAATCACCAGAAAACAAACTCTTTTAACTCCTCAAGTGACTGAACTAATCCTAACCAAGAATAGGAAATAACAAATCCTTCAATGGAACACATAAAAATCTAGCCATCAAGTATGTCTAATCTATAAAATCACTTATTCATACCTGTTGGAAAGAAATTGATTATAAATGTAATTTCTATGGATATTCTCCCGTTTCTTTTGCATTATCATGCATGGTGGATTTACCTATTTATCTAATTTTATTGTCGTAGGTTTCTTTTTAAGCTTGACTGACATTGAGTGATAAATTCAAGTCTTTAAAACCATTCTGATACTACTTGACTGAAACAAAACCCCTTGGCCCCCAACCATTTGGGGTAGGCTACGTGAATTTTGACCATTCCCGCTCCAATTCGATTTTTGATTAGGTGACAAATTTTGCTTATAATGCTAATCTAAATTAAGATTGCTCTTATTTTAGAGGTGTTTGTTTTGTATTTACATGTCAAATCCATCTTAAAAAAGAATGTGTTGTGATAATTATGTAAAATGAATTATGTTTAAAATGGGGTTAGTTTAAAGGTTGATACTGAATATCAATATCTTCCTTTCATGTCCTTAATTTTTGCACTTCGTTATTTGCATGCAAACAATGATGTTTGTTGTATTATCAAAATTGCAAGAATTATGTACTTGCTTCTTTATTGATATTGGCAGGATTATGTTATTATTTGATTTTCTAGGACCACATAATTTCTTAGATTGCACAACACTGTAAATTTAATTTTTTTTTATAGAGAACAAATGTAACATGAATGTTCCTTTAAAAATGACCCTTTCCCCCAGTTAGAGGATATCCATTGGACAATAAATTAACTAACAAAAGTTTTAGAAGGCACATTTGCTTTCTAAACCCAGTTGTGCCATTTGGACCATTGTGTGAATGTTCTGAGCAGTCTGAGTTCTAAATGTTTCAATTATTATTTTAATGGAACTGTAATGTTTAGTGATTTTATCAAGGTGGAAGGTGCCAAAGGATAAGAGTAAAGCCAAGAAGGACATGTATTGAGGCAATGAGAAAAGGAGGACCTATTACACCACATGTCTACACACAACCAATTTCTTCTCCTATCTGCCACGTTGAAAATTTTTCCTCTTAGCAAACTCATCCCATAGGGACTCACAATCTTGCCAGTGGACCAATTACCCCTCTCTCCACTGTACTTGGCTTCCACCACCTTCCTCCACAAGCTGTCATGTTCAGTGGCAAACCTTCACAACCACTCGCCCAATAAAGCCTTTTTGAACACTTCCAATCTCTGGATCCCCACATGCCCATGCTCTCCATAGTCCCAACTGAACTTATCCCCATACTCCCAACTGAAAAGCCTTCTGTAATTTCTCCAATATCTTGGCCACTGAGGAAGGAATAGTAAGGATTGACATAAGATATGTGGGTAAGCTGAATGGAGTTCTCTTGACCGAAGTCAATCTTCCCCCCTTTGACAAGTATTGCCTCTTGCAAGAGGCAAGCCGCCTCTTGCATTTCTCCACCACCACATCCCAAGTAGGTTTAGCATTGAACAAGTCCCTAAGTCTCAAACCAAAGTAAGTAGCGGGCAAGGAATCCACGTTGCACCTGAAAGTCCCAGTCAACTGCTCCATATTATCCACCACCTCAAGATTAATTAAAGCCATCTTGGATAGGTTAAAAAAAGCCTGGATACAGCCTCAAAGCACCTTAACACCACCCCCCCCCCCCCCCCCCCCCCCCCCCCCCCCCCCCCCCCCCCCCCCCCCCCCCCCCCCCCCCCCCCCCCCCCCCCCCCCCCCCCCCCCCCCCCCCCCCCCCCCCCCCCCCCCCCCCCCCCCCCCCCCCCCCCCCCCCCCCCCCCCCCCCCCCCCCCCCCCCCCCCCCCCCCCCCCCCCCCCCCCCCCCCCCCCCCCCCCCCCCCCCCCCCCCCCCCCCCCCCCCCCCCCCCCCCCCCCCCCCCCCCCCCCCCCCCCCCCCCCCCCCCCCCCCCCCCCCCCCCCCCCCCCCCCCCCCCCCCCCCCCCCCCCCCCCCCCCCCCCCCCCCCCCCCCCCCCCCCCCCCCCCCCCCCCCCCCCCCCCCCCCCCCCCCCCCCCCCCCCCCCCCCCCCCCCCCCCCCCCCCCCCCCCCCCCCCCCCCCCCCCCCCCCCCCCCCCCCCCCCCCCCCCCCCCCCCCCCCCCCCCCCCCCCCCCCCCCCCCCCCCCCCCCCCCCCCCCCCCCCCCCCCCCCCCCCCCCCCCCCCCCCCCCCCCCCCCCCCCCCCCCCCCCCCCCCCCCCCCCCCCCCCCCCCCCCCCCCCCCCCCCCCCCCCCCCCCCCCCCCCCCCCCCCCCCCCCCCCCCCCCCCCCCCCCCCCCCCCCCCCCCCCCCCCCCCCCCCCCCCCCCCCCCCCCCCCCCCCCCCCCCCCCCCCCCCCCCCCCCCCCCCCCCCCCCCCCCCCCCCCCCCCCCCCCCCCCCCCCCCCCCCCCCCCCCCCCCCCCCCCCCCCCCCCCCCCCCCCCCCCCCCCCCCCCCCCCCCCCCCCCCCCCCCCCCCCCCCCCCCCCCCCCCCCCCCCCCCCCCCCCCCCCCCCCCCCCCCCCCCCCCCCCCCCCCCCCCCCCCCCCCCCCAAAAAAAAAAAAAAAAAAAAAAAAAACCAAATAAATTGTGGATGGCTAAGAAACTGTAATTGTGTAGGATACAACTGACAAAAACATATATGTTCATATGGTGACTAGTTATATATGCACAAACATCAGATCAGGCTCAGGTTGGCTCAATCTGTCGACCACCTCTGCTCTGGCATGTACCAAAGTTAAATCTGCCTTAACTATGTTAACCTAGCTTGAACCAAAGTATTCAGTAACTGTCCCAAGCCTCAAAATAGGTTGGGTTGGGCTAGTTCAATAAACAGGTAGAACTTTTTGAAAATTAATTTTAAGGACTAATTTTCCATGAGTCAAAACCAATATGTTTTAACTGGCAAAAATTGAATAGATATTTAACCATTAGAACAATGTGTGTGAACATGCACCAAATCTTTGCAAGTCCCTTTTTCCATTGTTAATGCCCAAGTACTTGTTTTCTAGGCAGCTCAATGCCCAAATCGCACACGTTTTTGTCCTAATAAAACAAGTATTTTTGCTATTGGTTGAGGCAAGAAATTGTAATCCCAAAAGTAATGGTTTGTGATGATATGCTTCATGTTTGTTTTCCCTTATGTGTTTGAATTGCCTTAGAATGCTTGATACCCTTTGTGTTCAGCCTGTGCTGGTTGGCTTTATGTGAAGTTTGACAGAAAATTTCAGGCCACAATGGTAATAGAATCACAAAGTTATCATATGTTTTGCATATTCAAAATTTCAAAACCAAGACGAGCAATGTTGGTCAATGCAAGCAAAAGCTATTATTTTTAAAAGCAATTAATTGGGTCCCTTCTTTCTCAAAATGCTGGCATGACCATGTGCACCTTCATTTAGAATTGACAATAAAACCATCAACATCACCAAATGGAGATGCTAGTACACAGCACTAATGGTATCTTCTGGTTTTTGTATCACTGTCATTGCCTAGTTTAGAAGATAGTCTATTGCTTCTAACTACTTCAAAGTTCTTTTTTTCATTTTTTTTTATATTTAAATTGTTCAACACAAGGTGAATTAATAATCTTGGACACTTTATCTTATGCAGCTGCTTACCTTTTTATTCAATCATTTTAAGCCCTTTTGTCTTGTGCAGCAGATTAACTTGGTCTTGAATGATTTTTAGTTCCCGGTTGATTTTGTTTTCAAATGTCATATTTTGTCATCAGAGGCTACCCACCCTATGGATGGTTTTCAAAGTGTGCTGGTTAATCGCCATTACTAACTGTCGAGCTTTATCGGTTTTGCAGGGACCTTGGAGCATGAATTTGATAATATCTTGGTATTTTATCTTGGATGACCAATGGCAGACAGACTAAACTTGTATCAGCTATTTATCTAAAATTCTTAGTGCGTATGTTTCTATTTCCGAATAGACATGTGTTCAGGTGTTTGACATGTTATATTATAACTGACTTGTTTTCTATTTGAATTGAAGTATGCTTTCCGTATTGAATGTTTTATTACAAGACTACATATATTTTAGACGGTTATAAATATGATTTTTACAATATTTGGAGTGGAGTTGAGTGGTTCAATAAAATCATATTATCAGGATGAGAAGGGGATCATTATTTGCGATTGATCTGTTGGTTGTTCAAGATTTTATCTATCAATACCATCTTGAAATAAATTTATGGGCAAATTACTACTCGTTACAATTTGCATTCTGTCAATTTAGTTTATGTAATTTTACTTGTATCAATTTTGTTTTTGAATTTTTTATGTTGTGTCAATTTAATTACTTTTTTAGAAATTGAATTAAAATTAAATTAGTCAATTCAATCTGAAAGGTTACCATTTAATTTGAAATGAATCATTATTTTTTGAATGGATAATTTTGTCAATTTTTTTTTTAATGAATGTTATTAATTGAATTAAATTTACATAATGTACAAAAATTGAATGGTAATGTTGATATAATTAAATAAATACAAGAGGTAAATTACATATAATGGATATAATTTGGTTTAAATTTATTAAAGTTTGTCAAAATAGAAAGGGAAATTTATTAGAAAATCATCTTTTAATACTTATATCTTAATTAGTTCATAAGATATTCTTATATTTTAATAAGTCTCATTATTTCAAACATTTGATCAACTAAATTTTAATTCTTATATTTGAGACATTTTATAGAAAATTTTATCCTTATAAATATTTTTTTGACCCTTAGCAACTTGGTCCCATTAATAAATTTGACATTGTAAATATTTATATTATAGAACATTCACACGGTTAATGTAATATTAATGCTTCTTTATCTTATTATTGTTATTAGATGTATTTTGAAAATCATGTCACCCATAAAATTATTGAAATATAAAAAATAATTTAAATTAAGTAAAATATAAATTAAAAAAATAAGGAAAAAAACTAAAAGAGATACATATGCATGTGATAAAGCATTCTTTTCTCTCCTCCGGTTGTCAATTTATGTCCTCACTTTTGTAATTAAGCTATCGTTGTCGCTCTTCTACTGGTCCATGCATGAACCCTATCGGATCAAATCATCAATTTAAACTATGGGTCTAGAATTGTTGAACCCTATGGGATCAAATCATCAATTTAAAGTAGGGTGATGATTGAGAGCTTTAGAGCTGGGTTTAGTGACTTGGAATTTTTTTTTTTAAAAAAAAAGGACAAAATGTTTTAGAGTTCCAAAATATTTTTGTTTAAACTATGGGTCTGGAATTGTTAAGCTAACAATACGAATATATAGAGATTTTAAGAATTAATTTTTTATTTTTTTTTGTTTTGGTAAAAATTAAAATTTTTTATTTCAAAGTAAAGTCTTGTTGCAAAAAAATTTAGGAACTAATTCATGTTATCGTGAGAGTTGTCATTAATAAGAAAATAATTTGGTACTAAAAATATTTATTTTTTGAAATAATTTTTGATCTCAAAAGGATAATGATTTATCATTAAATATTTAATTTTATCACTAAAAATATAATATTAACACTTTCAAAATATTATGCAATTAAGCTGATGCTTTAAACAATGGTTAACAGGGCATAAATGAAGATGGGACTGCCAATTGCAATTAAAAATAAATAAAAAATAGTAGCAGAGATCTCAAAAATAGAGGAAGAGTACATAGTAAACAAGGTGGATATATATATATATATATATATTTTGTATCCGTAACAAAGTGGGTTTTTTTTTTTTTTTTTTTGGAACGATAACAAAGTGGATATTCGATTGCATGATTTCAAGCAAACTCATACTTGGCCAAGATTGAAAATGCCAAACCTCCCCAACGTCCAATCCCATTCACCTTGTACATGCCAAAAATAAATAAATAAATAAATACATAAAAGGAGAAATTATAAATTAGTGTACAAGATTAAAAATAATATAAAGATATGGAGGGTATAATTTTTTCTATGTAATAAAATAATAATAAAAAGAGACACTTACCAATAGGTCTTATTTTTTAGACTTATTATCCATTAAATCTTACTATAAATTTATTTATAAAAACAGGAGAGACTGATAAATTTATCAATAAGACTTAATAGGTAATAAATTTCAAAAGTAAAATCTATTAGTAATTTACCTTAATAAAAATTACAGCCCATTTTTTGGTAAATAAATTCGCCACTTTTGATTGTCTGGTATTTTTTAAAAAAAGATACACGTTACCATCAAATATGAGTAGCATTTTGGTAAATGAACAATCAAACCCAATTATTCGTTAAGTTATGCTTACATCATAAGTTTAAAAATAATTTAACAAGGATGCCAAATGCATGATCCCAACTAGAGGTGGAAATATTAGATTGGGTTAGGTTCCGGCTAGACTTACATTATATAGTAAAAAAGAGTTTTTACTGAAGTTTTTTTCATATTTTAGTTAATTTTTTAAAATAATTTTTGTGATATATCAAGATTAGATGTATCTAAAAAATATATAAAAAAAATAATATTTTTAAAAATTCACTAAAAATAAACGAAAATTCGAACAGAGAATATTTTATATTTTCAATGATTTTTTATATAGTAAACAGATTTATGTTCAAATTTTATATTTTCAGTGATTTTTTAAAATATTTTAGCCAATTTATTTTACTTTTTAGATTCATAGTCTGTTTGGCAAGTTGGTTCTTGGGCTTTTTTGGCTATTTTAGCCACAAAAGACAAAATAGGCTATTTTAGCCATAACAAACAAAACATCACATCCAACCCATAATCATTACATTCTTCTCTCACAAAAAAACTCAAAAAAGTCAAAAAGCCAAAAAGCCCTTCCCAAACCAAGCTTTTAAGCCCAGGCTAAAATAGCCAAAAAAGCCAAAAAGCCAAAAAGCCAACCCACTTCCCAAACGGAGGCTCATTATGATTAGGTACATCTAAAAAGTATAAGGAATTGATTAAAATATTTAAAAAAAAATCACTAAAAGTAAATGAAAACTCATCTAAAAATAGTTTCTATTTATTTTGTAATTAAAAAATGAAAATTATTATTTTATGAATGGGCAGGCCTAGCTTAAACTTCTTATTCCAAATTTTAGTTCGAAAATTAAATGAGCTAAAAATCTGTTAAAATGTATGTATTATTGATTGATTGTCTTGATATAGTGTCTATTACAATTACAAGGATTCCTATTATATAGGAGTGTGTTTGGGAGTAGGTGAAGAGTAGGTGAAGTGGAGGTGGTAGTGGTGTAGTGGGTTAGGTTTAGTGGAGTAGGTGAGGTGGTAGTGGTGGTAGGTTTATGGTAAATTCTAACAAAATCTTATCTCAATATGATCTCATGACTGTGTCCAGATCATGCAAGTTGGGATTTGGAAAAGTGAAAAAAATGAGTGAAATATAGTTATATTTTAGGATTGGGCTTCTCTTATACTCACATTTCAACATGAGAGAATTAAAGGAGCCTGCTGGGATCTATCATATGTTTGTCTTTAAAAAAATGAATGATTTATTTTTAAAAATATATTTATAATTTATTTTTTCAAAAATTAACGCGATAAAATAAAAATATTACAATTATCGTATTAAATTATTATTATTTTTTTATGAATGGTATATGCTGAGAATTTTACAAAATGAATAGCTCGAATTATCAAAATAAGACACTGATAAACTCTACAGCCACAAGTTCTTTAAATTCTCTTATGTTGAGATGTCAATATGAGAGAAACTAATCTTCTATCCTTACTTAGATGTGGTTTGGGATGTCCTAAATAAGTGGACTTTTTGATTTTTTGGACTAAAAAATTGAGGAAAAAAAAATGATTGTTTTGGATAATTTTTTGATTTTTTATGAAAAAATGTGTATTAAAAATTTGTATAATTTAGTGTATAGGAGAAGGGAGAGAAGAATAGGCAGGCCTTAAAGCAGAGTAGTGGGCAGACTAGTGAAAATGTCATGCTTGCCTCTTTTTCGCGTATTGAATTGGACGGTGATGTTCGGCTTGTGGGGGCCTACCACGCATCTCGTTTTGATAATTGGAACCATTCAATGTGTAGAACTCGTCGAGTACTATATATTTGTAATCACGTTGATTGGATATTGATAGTTATCTGATCGGATTAATTTTTTGTCAACCATTAACTATAACACCATCTATTTTTTTTTTATATAAAACTGATTTGATTATGTAGTTAGCGATATCCGATCAACGTGATTTTTTATAGACATATAGTACTCGACGAGTTCTACACATTGAATAGTTCAGATTATCAAAACGGAACCGTTGATGGGCCCCCACGGGGCGAACAACACTGCCCTTAAGCTTGCCTTTGCTTGTGTAATTTGTTCTCACCAATGTTAGGCAAAGGCAACTCACGTCGGAGTGAGTTATACATTTTTTGTGTAAAAATATTTTTTTTATAATTTTTTTTGGTGAATAGTGATAACTTTTTAACTTTTTTAGTCTATGTTTGGAAAGTTGGTTTTGGAGCTTTTTTGGCTAAAATAGTCACAAAAAACAAAATAAGTTTTATAGCCCAATAAGACAAAATATCATATCCAACCCATAATTATTACATTATTTCTCTCACAAAAAGTCAACAAAGTCAAAAAAGCCAAAAGCCTTTCCTAAACCATGTTTTTTAGGCCCAGGCTAAAATAATCAAAAAAGTCAAAAAGTCAACTCACTTCCCAAACGAAACCTAACTTTTTGACTTTTTGTCTTTTTTTAAAGATGCCAAACCAAGCCTTAAATATATGATAGAAACACAACCTAAAAATTAAGAAAAATCTCAATTTGTTTGGTTTCATAACTCAGGATTCACTTTTCAAAAATTTAAAATTTAATATTTTTCGTATTTTTTTTATTTTTACTGAATTTTTGTAATATTTTAAGTAATTTTTTTAATTTTTAGATATACCTAATATAAATACACTTAAAAACTAAAATTCAATATATTTTTCGTATTCTTGTGTATTTATTAATATTTTAAAATATTTTTTTTATAAATATTTTACTTTTTAGATATATCTTAGATATATCTAAAAAAATTATTTAAAATTTTAAAAATATTCACTAAAAACAAAAAATATAAAAAAATTAAAAATTAAATTTTCAAAAAATTGAAACTAAATTACAATCATAAAATTATCTAAAAAAGGTATATCTAAAAAAATTACTTAAAATTTTAAAAATATTTATTAAAAATAAAAAATATAAAAAATTCAATTTTTAGAAAATTGAAACTAAATTACAATCATACAATTTTTTCCTTAACAAAGTTCCCTCCGTTGATATGTGATCCATTAACTCTATTTGGAAAGTTGAGGTTTGAATTTTTTTTTTATTAAAATAATCATAATTATTACATTATTTTTTTCATAAAAATTTTAAAAAATCAAAAAACTCTTCTTAAGCAAAACTTTTTAACCTTACAATAAAATAGTCAAAAAAATTAAAAAATCAATCCACCACCGCAACCAACCCAATGACCGACCTACAATTTTTCCTCCCCCGTGATATGCGACCAGAAAAAGGTCCATTGATGACCGATGCCCTCTTCTCTCAAAATATTTCAGTTAATTTTATCACGTTATTTAAATTGTATTTGGTTGAAAAATTAAAAAAAAAAATAAAAAGATAAAGAAAAAATATATATAAAATAAAATAAAAAATATATATATTTTCCTCTCATTTTACCTGCCATTTCTCTTTCACTTCTTAAATTACTTCCCATATTCCCAACTAAACACAGGTCAATCTTTATTCATTCATTAAGCCCTACAATTATCTAATTTCATTGTTTCTCTTTCATCATTTCTCTATGATTCTCTCTCGCCCTCTCTCTGTTCTCGTCGCTCTTCCTTCCCTTTGCAAACCCTCCCTTCGTTGTTGCCATCTCTTCTCCTCTGCAAACCCTCTCTTCTTCCCTCTAAAACTCTCATATGGCTATGTTTGGGATAATTTTTTTAATTATTTTAATCACAAAAAAAAAATTAAAAAATTAATAAAATAAAATGTCATATCTAAACTATAATTATTCTATTTTTCTCTAACAAAAATTAAAAAAATCAAAAAAATTATCCTAAACAAAATTTTTTAACCACAAAGTAAAATAATTAAAAAAATTAAAAAATCCATTCACATCCAAACGAAGGCCATAACACCACCGTTGAAATTTGTCGAAATCCTAAAAATATCGGCTGGTGGGCCAGTGGCACTAACCCCAAACGCATCAATAAACAAACACCGGAAATTGGAGTAAGATAGTTTGTTCGTGTGGGTGCGAGCGGTATATAGAGAGAGAAGAGTGTGGTTGAGAAGAAGAAGAAGAAGATGCCGAGGAGTAGATTTGCTGGGTCATTGATGAGCCCGAAGGTTGACTTGATGATCGACATGGGCAATCCCTTTCTCAATCTCACCGTCGATGGCTTCTTGAAGATCGGCACTGTAATTAATTATCCATCACCATCTCCATTACCATTACCATTTTTATCAAATTCTAACATTTCTTAATCATTTCTCGTGTTTCAAATCTTCTAGGTTGCAGTGGCAAAGGCCGCAGCAGAGGAAACCTATGACATTTTCAAATCAGGTTTTCTCATCTTCTACGTTTTTATTCTTCATGTATTAATAACCTAAGTTCTCATTTATAGCTTACTTGCTTTATATGACTTGTTTCTTATGAATTATTACTGTAAATATATGAACTAGGACAAGATTTTAAGAATTTTTATATTTTTAGTTTTAATATTTTTGATATATTATTTTTATCAAGGATTCTTGTAATTTAGTATAAATATTTTAGAATTATTAAGTGTCCTAAATTTTATTATTTTGGAATTAGATTTTGACTAGGATTTTAAATATTTTCCTATTCTCTTAAGTTTTTTGTGTTGATTTAAGTTTCTTAGTATTAGTGATAATTACAAATAAAATACTAGAAAATAAGAATAATAGAAATTACAAAAACTATTGTAAGGGCTGAGGCGCGGGAAATTCGCTCTCTTTAAGGAGATTCAAGTCCTCTGCGGTTAGGCAAAGTCTCACACCGGTACAGCAGAAAAAACCTTGACTTGTTCCTCCAAGATACAACAGCCCGACTAAGTCGTATGGTTCACCAATACTGCACAATTGGTTGAACCCAAAGCTTTATCACACACACCCTTTTTATTTGCCTAATAATCTCACTCAAGACATAACAACACAACCAAAACTTCTTCACCCTTGCACCAAGATAGGACATTAGCTCAAATATATAGGAGATAAGGCTTGGAGGTGCCTTGGTGGATATGAAACGGATGAGGACTTGGATGGATAAGCATGGTGGACTTGAAAATGATAAGTCTTGGTGGACCAAGACCAAGACTTTGGAAACTTACCTTGGAAGTCTTGGAGAGGATAAGAATTGGTGGACTTGATGAAGACTCGAAAAGACTTGGAGAGAAATAAAAGAAAAACCAACCTATAACACATTATAATATTAAAATACCTGCTAACATTCTCCCACCTATTTTAATATTATAGGTAACAAAACTGAGATTATTAGGCAAATAAGGATATTATGCATCATGGTAGGTGTGCTCTGCATTGAACCTCCATTGTTGAAACAATAATATCTACTCCAGAGCCAATAGTATGCTCAGCATTGAACTATGACTACTTAAGGGAAATAAATAATTATTGCACACACATAATATTCCAGGTGTTCACAAAAGCTTTAAAAGCTAGCACATTACGGCCTTGTGCGATCCCAAGATTCATGAGTGTGTTTGAGAATTAGCCCAAATCTCATAGGTAGCGGCCCCACTATCACACTCACATAGGTGAATTCTGTCAAGGGTGCTCTTGTATCTATGACACCCCACTCAATAAGAGTTACAAAAATTCATTAAGAGTTTTTTAATAACTCAACCTCTACAACGTTACAGGATAAATGCACTTACATCATAGAGATAGATAAAAAATAAGTGCATTTCTCACGGCCATCATATGATCATTTTTCTCATTGAACCCAGTTACAGGATCTCTGGTCCCTGGGTTGAGTATCCTCATACATGGCTCCTGCTATATTCAATGGGCTTCAACCCCATCCCCCTCGATGTATTCCAGACTCTATCTCTTGCTAAGGCCTTAGTTAATGGATCTACAAGATTATTACCAGATTTAATATAATCCACATTTATGATGTCATTATTCATATAAGATCTCACAGTACTGTGTTTTCTTCTGATAGGTCTGGATTTACCGTTATAATAACAGTTATTAACTCGACCAATTGCTACGGTGCTATCACAATGAATTAATATAGGTGGAATCGTTTTTTCCCAATAAGAGATTTCATTTAACAAATCTCTTAACCAATTTGCTTCTTCACTAGCTGTAGCTAAAGCAATAAGCTTAACCTCCATTGTTGAATTAGCAATAATGGTTTGTTTTTTTGATTTCCAACTTATAACACCACCTCCCAATGTAAATAAGTAACTAGTGGTTGATAACGAATCACCTGACAAGGTATTCCAATCGGCATCACTGTAACCTTCAAGTACTGCAGAATACTTATTATAAAACAAGCCATATTTTGTGGTACCAGATAAATATTTCATAATCCGCTCAATGGCTAGCCAGTGATCACTACCAGGCTAAACCTGCTAAGTATTCCAACTGCATATGCAATGTCAGGTCTAGTACAGTCAGTCGCATAACACAAGCTACCAATCATACTAGCATATTCCTTTTGATTAATTACATCCTCATCATTTTCAATAGGAAATAAACGCACATGAGGATCAAAAGGAGTAAGAACATGCTTGCAGTTATAAAAATGATATTTTCTCAAAATTTTCTCAACATAATGCGACTGATCAAGAAATATACCATCAAGGTTTTTTCTGCTGCACTGGTGTGAGGCTTTGCCTAACAGCAGAGGGCTTGAATCTACTTAAAGAGAGCAAATTTTCCGCGCCTCAACCCTTTCAATGTTAGCAGGTATTTTAATATTATAATGTGTTATAGGTTGTTTTTCTTTTCTTTCTCTCCAAGTCTCTTCGAGTCTTCATCAAGTCCACAAATTCTTATCCTCTCCAAGACTTCCAAGGTAAGTTTCCAAAGTCTTGGTTTTGGTCCAGCAAGACTTATCCTTTTCAAGTCTACCATGTTTATCCATCCAAGTCCTCATCCGTTTCATATCCACCAAGGCACCTCCAAGCCTTATCTCCTATATATTTGAGCTAATGTCCTATCTTGGTGCAAGGGTGAAGAAGTTTTGGTTGTGTTGTTATGTCTTGAGTGAGATTATCAGGCAAATAAAAATGATGTGTGTGATAAAACTTTGGGTTCAACCAATTGTGCAGTATTGGTGAACCATACGACTTAGTCGGGCTGTTGTATCCTGGGGGGGACAAGTCAAGATTTTTTCTGCTGCACCGATGTGAGGCTTTGCCTAACCGCAGAGGGCTTGAATCTCCTTAAAGAGAGCGAATTTCCCGCGCCTTAGCCCTTACAATAGTTTTTATAATTTCTATTATTCTTATTTTCTAGTGTTTTATTTGTAATTATCACTAACAATTTTAAGGAGATTCAAATAGCAAAAGTTTATGGAGCCAGTATTGGAGAAACCCAACGAGAATACCGGCGATCTCAACAAGCCCTTTCGGTTCAAGGGAGCTCATTTCAAGAGATGGAAAGGCAAGGTGCTTTTCTACCTCAGTTTCCTCAAGGTGGCGTATATCCTGACCGAGAAAAATCCAAACAAAGTCCCCACTGAAGAGATGACCAACGAGGAGTATGCTGCTCATCTTGAAAAACTCGAAAAATACAACACAGATGAGTATAAATGTCAATACTATCTTTTGAATTGTCTTTCAGATCAATTTTATGATTATTATGATACTTGAGTGGGAGATTTATGATCTGAGATTGGGCCGTGACGTTAGTCGGACAGATTTGGGCCGAGGTATTGGGCTCCAAGATCAGGCCGTGATATTGCTCGGTAATGGCAAAGCCCACGTGGAACCGAGTTATCTGATCTCGGTTCCGTGAAGGCCGGACAGGTGGAGGAACAGCCTAGATGAGGCTCCCCGGCTCACGCGTTGCAAGATTGTAATGCACGCACCTTAACCCGGTAGGAAGGCCTGTGCTTGGAGCTTGGCCGAGAAGGTCTTTGGCTGACCGGCGTTACCAATCTCCAGCTCAGCTTCGTTGGAATACAGTTGAGCACTGCTGGAATTAAGCCCGGTAGTAGGAGACTATGACATCAACTGCACTTGGGCATGTTCAGTATGGCCGTTGATAGCCGAGATAATGTTGCCCGGCTGCCGTGCTCCCAGCAGAGTGGGCTGGCAGTTGGGTTAGGTGTTGTATAGCAAGATTTGTACTGACAGATGGGATAACAGAGCCACGTGTTGAGAGACCAATGGGAGTAGATTTGGGGCGCAGAAGGGTATATAAGCATGTCTGTGCCCCCCATACGCTAGACAGGAACACTTTGTAAGGAAATTCTTACACTCAAACGCTCCTCTCTCTCTCTCTATCCTAAGGTGTGCGCTAACTTGATCGTCGGAGGGTTTTTCCGGCCACATACCGCCGGGTAGCTCACTGTTATTTGCTCGTAGGTGATCGGACAGAAACGGAGCTCGGAAGAAAGGAGTATGAGCTTGCCGGAATATTTGCTCCCCGTACAATTGGCGCCGTCTATGGGAAGATTAACAAACAAAACCTTGTCTTCCAGGCTCATCTAATCACCGTTCATGGCAAACAACGATGAGATTCCGTTGTCTGCCATCGACGAAGCCACCCCGGAGTTTATCCGAAGGAGAGAGGGACATCCCGCCATCCTTCCAATGGCGGATTTGGAGACATTCCCCGGAGGGCAGTCAGGGGAATCGCGGGAGAAGTTATGGTCATTCGCGGAGTCTAGACGATCATCGGCGGCGGAGAGAGTCACACGCCAGACGTCTGGAACACAAGTTGAGGGACCAAGACGCCGTCATCCGGCGAATGGCGGCGGAGATGGAAGAGCTCAAGCGGCATGTCAAAGGGAAGGGTGTAGCTGGAGTGGGTGACCACAGTGAGCGCACCCCATCCCGCCGTTCAAGCGGTCAGAGTCAGCGACGCACTCCGTCCATTTCTATTACCAGAAGTTATCAGGTTGGTGATTTCGACGTGCATGCAGAGAAGTCTAGCGCGCAAGATAGCACTTACCGGCCCTCACGTCCGGTGACGACGTCGAGGTACTCTTACTCAGCTTATTCAGAGGATTTGCGGGCGGTCCTAAAGGAGAGGGCTCGCCGGCGGGAAGCTCAGACGATATCGGCGTTCCAGCGGTTATCCTACGCGGTTCACGCCAGCGAGGAGGTCGGAATGCCTCCACCCCGCCAAGCGGCGCCACTCCTAGTGGATTCAGATTTGGCAAGGTTGAGTGCCACCCCTTTCTCCCTGGAAATAGAAACAACACCGTTTCCGGCAAGCTTCCACCAGCCAAAGTTCACGCTTTACAACGGGAAAACCGATCCCTACATGCATGTAAGTCATTTCCTACAGGTTATGGCCGGACATAGGCGGAATGATGCTCTTATGTGCCTCATCTTTCCGTCAAGTTTGGGCGAACTGGGCTTGAAGTGGTTTGAAAGGCTGCCGGAAGGGAGCATACAAAGGTGGCATCAGTTGGCCGAAGCCTTTGTGACGCGCTTCAAAACCAACACAAAAACACCAAAGGAAGTCGATCACTTACTAAGTGTCAAGATGGAACCGAGCGACACACTGAAGGCATACAACTCCAGGTATTGGGAGACCTTCAATGAGATCTTGAATTGCCCGGTCAACCTTGCAATCACTCAATACAAGCGTGGTCTCCCGGTCGGACATAGACTGCGGGACTCGCTTACCATGCACCAACCGACGTCCATGGGCCAGCTCATGTAACGCATCAATAAGCACATCCGAGTCGAGGATGATGCGTCAGCATCTACCGTGAAGGCAATTCCGGTAGCAACAGACAAGAAGACAGCAGGCAAAGTGCACGCAATTGGGCAAGAGTCCAGCCGCTCAAGTGACCGAGAAGAGGAATCAGACCGTGGTTCAAATCGAAAAAACCGGGGCAGAGGACGTCGGAATGACCGGGATGACTACCCCCGAGATGACGTAGCGGAGGCAAACAGAAGGTTGAAGGCAAGGACTGGCATAACCACGGTCTTCAAGATTCTGATCTATCGCATACTTAGTGAAATCTGAGACGAGGAGTATGTCCGGTTTCCTGCTAAGTTGGGCGATGGACAAAAGGGCTACAATCCGCGGTATCGTTGCACATTCCACCGGGAGAGGGGCCACCGGACTGAGGATTGTTTGCCATTGAGGCAACACCTGGAAGAGCTAGTCACGGCGGGGCACCTGGATCTTTACATTGATGGGGGCGTTAAGGCAAATTAGGTTCCGGTTGATCCGCGGGGACCGGATGACCGAGATGCACCTCCTCAAGGGGTTGTGAATGTCATCCACGGCATAGTGGAACCGGCGCGTGTTTGCGAGCTCTATGGTATGATCAAGAAGGCAGAACACATGAGGGAAGTTTTGTCAGTTCAGCCTGCGCTCAAGAGGGGGAAGACGGAAGCGAAAGATGTGATCAGTTTCTCCTCAAGGGACTTGGAGCGCATTCAGACACCGCACAATGACGCCTTAGTAGTTACACTCCGCGTTAAAGATTTTGAAGTCAAACGAATCTTGATCGATCAGGGAAGCTCGGTCGAGATCATGTATTACGACGCTTTCAAACAGCTCAAGCTCCGAGATACGGATTTGGCCCCGGCGACATCGCCATTGGTTGGTTTCAACTCTCACCCGGAGTGGCCTTTGGGAAAGATTATCCTGCCGGTCAAAGCGGGATCCGTGGTTAAACAGGTGGAGTTCTGGGTGTTACAGGTGCCATCCACTTACAATTTGATCCTTGAAAGGGGGTGGCTTCACGCTATACAAGCCGTGGCATCGACTTTTCACCAAGTAATGAGATTCCCCTCGGCTATAGGGGCAATCGAGGAGATTTGGGGCGATCAGGTCATGTCAAAGCTGTTAGAATTTACCATCACCTACCACTCATTTACCATCACCTACCACCACCTACTCCTCACCTACTCCTCACCTACTACACTCACCCTCTCCTATATAATGAGCCACTCACCATTTGTAATAGATATCAAACAATAACATTATATCAATCAATAATACATAAATTCTTACATGGTATCAGAGCTAGGTTGAGAACCTAGTATTTTCGCTTCATCGGCGGGCGGCAGCCTCGCCTTGGCCGCCCGCCGGACCTCTCATCTCTCTTTCTCAGCCTTCAGCCTCTGCTTCTCGTCACGAAGCTCATTCTTCTCAGCCTTCAACTCTTTAATCTTCTCCTGCAGAGTCAAGTTTGAATCCTTCAACTTTTGAGCATCACCCCTTAACTGTATCACCAGTCGAATAGCTTCAACCAAAATAGCAGCCTTGTCTGTTTTGGGTGGCCTCCCAGGCTCAAGGATAGAACCCAATTCCACAAACTTGTCGTTTAGCCTATCCCTCCGCAACTTCTCTCGGCATGCTTTGGAACTTGATGATGCTCCACACAATTCGGGTCTTGGCCTCTTTTTCGAGCCAGTTTCCTTGCGACTGTCTGAATCCCCAAAGGAGCCATCAATTTCCAAACCGATGTTGGAAGAAGCGTTCAAGGGCCAGCAAAACCCAGAAGTGGGAGCGGAGAAATTGGGATCAGGGACAGAGATGTCCTCAATCAAGCCGTAATCGAAGAGCCAATTAGTGTGCTCCGGCGAAACCATGTCCGATAAGTCGCCGGAAAGTTCATGATGCGCAGCATCATGAACCACAGGATCATGTGTTGGCACTGCTTGCCATCCTGGGCTATGCCCATCTTTCTTAACACTAAGATCTGACGGGGTTAATGCAGGAGTGTCACCAACATCACCAGCATGCTTGAATTCCTGCAATTCCTTGAAGTTCATCCATGGCTTCACCCAAACTTTTGCCTCATAGAGTTTCTTCTTACCCGCATCAACAGCCTCGAGAGTTATATGGTGCAACGTACCAGCAACCACCTGTTCTTGTGCCTTCACCACCCGCACAAACTCGAAGAGTGTATTCTCTTTTTTGTTGTGTTCTTGGATGGCGAATCGGGAGAGATTATCGATATCGGCGGTGTTCTGGTTGGACGAATGAGAGTCGTGTATTCCTCCGAGAGTAGCCATGTTTGTGCTACAAATAAAGCCTTCTTCTTGAGATTGAATTTGAGATACAACTACCACCGCTGGGACTAATATCGCTACAGAGAAACAGAACAACAAGATAGACCTCTCTCTCTCACTCTCGGGCATTGTCTCTCTCTCTTCCTTTTAATTAAGTGTTTTACACACCACCTCCACCCACATGGGTTGGTTTCACTTTTCCTCATCAATATATTCCCACACTCTTCCACTTTCTTTTCTTTCTTTTTTTTTATCACCCACGAGCCTACTCACATGCACCACCCACTCTCTCTTCAAAATACTTTATCATTTTTCCCACCCAACACCTCATCCTAATATATTCTATCTCTATTTTACTCTGTAAACCTATATATATTCCTCTCTTTTCTTTTCTTTTCTATCTATCCATATATATTCTTATTATTATTATTATTATTAAACCAAAAAAAAAAAAAAAAAAAAAAAAATCCAAACACCATTGCAAACAATTTAACAATTGCACACAAACTTATTTATTCATGTCGGGTCTCAACCCGATCACCAAAATGTTTCCAACATACAAAAACACAAAAAACAAACACAACAAAAAAAAAAAAAATAAAAAAAAAATAAAATACAAACAACACCTCATTACCAGGTGGGATTTTTTTCTCTATTCTGCCGCGGTCTTTTTCTTCTTGCCTCCGTCTTCGGGCGGTCCCCTGCCGTGGTGTTGCCTCCGTGTGTTCCCACTCCACTGGGCATGATCACTACTCCTGCTCCTCCACTGTCACGCATGCTGCGGCCCTCCAAATCAGGAAACATCACGGTGGCTTCCGGCTCAGCTCCTTGTTTCTCCTTTAGCACACCTATCTCCTCTCGCGCATCCTAATACAGGCGTGGAGCAAGACCAATTGGGCGTTTAGTGCTTGCACCCTCATTGTCCTGCTCTGCAGCCGGTACAAGTTTTGTGACCGTAGTCATAGGTTTCCACACATGACTTCAGAGTATACTGATTGGCCTCAATATCAGTTTGCACCGCCATTTTTTGCTCCACTGACCGCATCGGAAAGTCAACCGGAGCAAACACAGAGGTGCTTGGTTGAAGGTTTCCTGGCCACCGAGCCAGTTACATTCTCTTAGTGGGCTCGTTCAGTTCTGGAAAGAGCGTGAGCAGACCACGGGAAGAGGAGGCATGTTTTGGGTAGCTGGACCGGGAAGAAAGAGGCCATGTTGTTGAGTGTTTCAGAGACGGGTTTGGTTACAGAGTATTACAAGAGTTTTCTCTCAGGCAAGGTTAAGCGTTTTTCAGAAGATTTTAGCAGGTTTTCTGCCTCAGCCTCCGCATTGATTTATATAGACATGACGACGAGCCGACACGCGCACTGTCGATCACAGTGCATCACCGCGGTGTGGCGCGCCTTTTGATGGCACGCCTTTTTATGGATTGGCACGCCTTTTGATGGCACGCCTTTTGATAGATAATGGGCACACCTTTTGAGGTGCGACTCTTAAAGGGTCCGACAAGATCTGTAAACTGTCCCCGACATTGATTCCGGTTAGCTCCTTCATGGGTCCGAGCAAGTTACTGGTTGTAAACTCGTCGTTCCGACACTTGATGTCCGGTCTAGATTTACATGCGGGTCCGACAAGATACTCTGTGAGACTGTTCCCCGACATTGATTTCGGTTAGTTTTCTATTCAAAAGGGGTCCCTTTTTAGCAAAGAAACCTCTCGTTTCGTAAACTGTTCAACATACAACTGTCACAACAGTTGTCTCCTAGCAACACGGTCCGCATGACCCCGTAAACTGTCCTGTCACACGGTCCGACATGACGCCCATAAACTGTCTTCTACTCGTCTGACAGCCATACTAGTGATCTGCCAACGTTCATGGATAGCACCTAACTCTGACAGTGTCCTCTACAAACGTTATGACAAAAAGAGATGCCTCAGAAAAATGTATGCAAAGATATGCAGATCCCACCAGTTGTTGCTTTAATGAACCGCGATTGAGGGAGTAGTCCACTGCGTGACGATGGAGACAAGGCCCAGAAAGAGTGTCCTCTCAAACATTATGACACCACCATCCAGTGTCTTCACCAATGGTCTGACACGACCATACAGTGTCACCTATCCTTTTTTATTTTTATGTATTTTCTTGTTTTGTTCCTCTCTTCAAACTCAAGTTGGTTAGTTTCTATCCTCCTTGAGTTTGCGGGGGGCTGTTAGAATTTACCATCACCTACCACCCATTTACCATCACCTACCACCACCTACTCCTCACCTACTCCTCACCTACTACACTCACCCTCTCCTATATAATGAGCCACTCACCATTTGTAATAGATATCAAACAATAACATTATATCAATCAATAATACATAAATTCTTACAAAAGCAGTGCTTCGTGGCAGTCAACGAGAGCCGGGCTGCCAAAGGATTTGTTCAAATGATTGAGGGACCGGAGAACCAGGGTGTCTTGGATGATGTGGGCACCAAGGCCGAGGACAAAGCTGTCGAGGAATTGGTGGAGGTGCGAATTGATACAGAGCAGCCGAACAAGTTCTCCTTGCTCGGCTCAAGCCTTACAGCCACAGAACGGACCAAGATGGTTGAGTTTTTGATGGCCAACATCGAAGTTTTTGCATGGTCGCCTTACGACATGCCCGGCTTCGATCCAAGTTTTATTTGCCATCATCTCAATGTCTTCCTCGGAGCCAAGCCAGTCATTCAGCGAACAAGGAGATCGGCGCTGCATCACGCCGAGGTAGTTGCGGAGGAAGTCAAGAATTTGCTAGAGGCGCGAGCAATTCAAGAAGTGCACTATCCTTGGTGGATCTCAAATACAGTGGTGGTACCGAAGAAGAATGGGAAGTGGCGGGTTTGCGTTGATTACAAGACCGTCAACCGAGCTTGTCCAAAAGATAGCTTTCCTTTGCCTAGAATTGACCAGCTTGTGGATTTGACGGCTGAACATAACAGGCTAAGTTTCTTGGATGCCTACCGCGGCTATCATCAGATTGCCATGCATGGCCCCGACCGAGAAATCACCTCATTTACTACACCAAGGTGACTCTTCTGCTACCGAGTCATGCCTTTTGGTTTGAAGAACGCCGGGGCAACTTTTCAAAGGATGGTGACCAAGATGTTTGCTTCTTTGCTGGGCCGGACAATGGAAGCTTACATTGATGATATGGTGGTTAAAAGTCGGCATCAGGCAGATCATTTGTCCAACTTGGCCGAGATGTTCGCCATTCTCAAAAAGCACAAGCTACGCCTGAATGCGTCTAAGTGTGCCTTCGGCGTGGGATCCGGAAAATTTTTGGGATTCCTAGTCACGAATCGAGGTATCGAAGCAGACCCTACACAAATCCAAGCCGTGCAAGAGTTAAAACAGCCTAGCTCGGCGAAAGACGTGCAGCATCTGGCCGGAATGGCCGCCGCGCTTAATCGATTTATAAGTCGGTTATCAAATTGCTGCCGCCCTTTCTTTCAGTCCTTAAAATCAAAGTTCTCCTGGGATGAAGAGTGTGATTGAGCTTTGGCCGAGCTCAAGGAGTATCTGTCTTCAGCGCCACTGTTGGTCACACCGAAGCCTAGAGAAGAACTCTATCTTTATTTGGCCGTATCGCAGCATGCAGTCAGTGCGGTGCTTGTCCGGGCTGAAGGAATCAAGCACCTCCCCATCTTTTATGTCAGCAAAACTTTGCTACCGGCAGAGTCGAGATACTTGCCGTTGGAGAAGCTTGCTTTGGCATTAATGATGGCTTCAAGAAAGTTGGCGCACTATTTCCATGCACATATCGTCATCGTCTTGACCGAGTTCCCCCTCAAAGCTTTATTCGAGCGGGCAGACTTCTCTGGTTGGATTCTTAAGTGGGCGGTCGAGTTGGGATAGTTTGATGTGAAGTTCCAGCCGCACACTGCCATCAAAGCCCAGACTTTGGCCGATTTTGTCGCCGGCTGAAGGAATCAAGCACCTCCCCATCTTTTATGTCAGCAAAACTTTGCTACCGGCAGAGCCGAGATACTTGCCGTTGGAGAAGCTTGCTTTGGCATTAATGATGGTTTCAAGAAAGCTGGCGCACTATTTTCATGCACATACCGTCATCGTCTTGACCGAGTTCCCCCTCAAAGCTTTATTCGAGCAGGCAGACTTCTCCGGTTGGATTCTTAAGTGGGCGGTCGAGTTGGGACAGTTTGATGTGAAGTTCCAGCCGCGCACTGCCATCAAAGCCCAGACTTTGGCCGATTTTGTCGCCGAATTCTCACCTGGAACTCATTCGGTATGCCCGGTCAATATTACCGCGGCAGATGATGAGGTGCACGCAAGACCATCCGAGATACAACCAGTTGGTGGAGGTAGCGACGCGGAGTTTGCGCACACCACTGAAGCACCCTCAGGTTGTACGGTTTTACCGCCCGGTAATGCGATGACGGAGTTGAGAATCACCGACCAACCTGCTCTGTCCAGTCCCGCATCACCAAGGGGGGAAGAAATGGAACCACACAGCTCAGAACCTGCGGCCGGCATAATACCGCAACCTGGTGATTCGCCTACGGACTTGAGCATTGCAGATCAACTTGCTGAGTCCGGTGCCGAATCATCAAGGGTGACTGAATTGGAACCAATCAACACAGAACTTAAAACTGAACAGCCGAGCAGTCGTGACCCCATCAACCTTCAAGCCTCTCAGGACCCCTCAGAATGCTGGAAGCTCTTCGTGGGGGAGATGTGGAAACTTTTTGTTGATGGAGCCTCGAACCGTCACGGCGCCGGGCTAGGTATAGTTTTGATATCACCAGAAGGGTTGACAATTGAACACTCTATCACCCTTGGCTTCCCAGCATCCAACAATGAGGCCGAGTACGAGGCGCTTTTGGCCGGTCTCAAGAGCGCGCTTTAGATGCAGGCATCAGAGTTAATGGTTTACAGTGATTCCCAGCTTGTGGTTAACCAAGTTTTTGGGGTCTACCAGGAAAAGGATGACAGAATGATAAAGTACCAAGCTTTGGTCAGGGACCACATCAAGCGATTCCAGGCAATCAGGGTCCAACAGATCGGCCGAGAAGAAAATGACCAGGTAGATGAGCTGGCCGGCCTGGCCTCTATGGTCGACCGCTCATTTCCCAACCCTCTTTTGATCGAATTCCTACCGAGACCCAGTATTGAAGAAACCGGGCAGACGGAAGTATTCTGCGCCGAGCTAGGTCCTTCCTGGATGGACCCTATCATCGTTTTTCTCAGAGAACGGACTCTTCCAACCGACAAGAAGAAAGCACACAAAGTGCGTGTAAAGTCAGAGCGGTTTTGGCTCTCTCCTTCAGGCGTTTTGTACAAAAAGTCTTTCACCGGTCCTTACC